GTGGGTCACTGCCAGATCTGGATGGACTGGATGGGTGAATTCCGGAGAACCAAATTCGCACCAAGCTTCCACACAACACTAATCATGCCAATATTTGGGACCCTCTAAATTAATGCACAGCAACCTATATTAGGGTACAAGCATAATATGAAATTAAATTTAAAGGGACATTGAACCCTCAGATTTTTTAACATAAACCAATAGTGTAATGTGTGCCTTACTGTAATCCATGGTTGTTTCCCTTCTCTTTGCTGCTCTTCCTTTTAAATCTGTATCTGTTCTCATGATGGGCAGAACTTCTGTTTTGCAGCATACTGTCTTGTCTCTGAAATGGCTACATGGTGTCTGTGTATAGGTTTGCAACCTGAGCCAGCACTACAGGAAGAGGCAGTCAGCTGCAAAGGGAAGTTCTCCCCAAGCATGAAAAAGACATGAGGATTTAAAAAGGAAGAGCAGCAAAGAGAAGGGAAACAACCATGGATAACAGTAAGGCACACATTACAGTATTGTTTTATGTTAAAAAAAATCTGAGGGTTTAATGTCACTTTAAGCCCACAAACAAAATGTAATAGATTGCAGCTTACCAGTCATTGGTTTCAAGATTCCTTTCATCTTATTTTCCTGCCAGAAACTTCCTGTCCTAGGGTGGCAACACTCACCCACTCTGTTATCTATGAAAGAGCAGTGTTGTCACCCTAGACTGCTATCCTCATCTGGACAACAAACACCCTCACTCTCCTCAACCGATTGAAATTAAGGGACTACATTTTATTTTTTTTAAAAGGGAAGCACGTTAGTTCCACTTTGTCACATTGAACTCAAAGAGCCCATGCACATGGGTGTACAAAATTTACAAAAGTTCTTGCTGGCATACAAAAAAATGGTTCGTAGTGCATCTCAACGCATACAGACAGACATACACACATATAGGGCTGCAGCTAACGATTATTTTACCGATTATTAAGCTCAATTAATCGGGGGGGAAATTGCTCCAGTAATGGACTACTAGTTTGTATCGAGATTGTAGTTCATATCATGTAAGCAAGCTTGGAGCACTGACTACTTAACAGCACAAAAAGAAAGACGTCATGACTCCAACAACGATAATAACAGCAATTAGATGCTCATTTATTGACAGATGCGGTCTCTCATTGGCAAGCGCTTTCAGGGCCACACAGGGTTCCCTTAGTCAGGCTCAGAGATACTTTACAAACACAACATGACCTTTATAACACACACGGCCCTGAATGTAGCGTTTTATTTGACCGTTCATTCATTAACATTTGTGGATTTTTCTCAGACTGCTAAACTTCAACAGTAAAGGTTTATAATGGGGAGCGAATGAGTTCCAGGAAAGTATCCAGCTCTGGCTGCGGATATTTCCTGCAAATGCTAAATATTTAGCTATTCTACATCCTGATAGGACAAAGCCTGTGTGTATACAGGAATCTGGTCACAAATAGTATTAATAAACCACAACAACCATTTAGGCCTTGTTCACACACCATGTGCTTCAAGCTGCATTTTTCTGCATAACACCGCACATGTACGGCATGAACAATTGTTTTCTATGTACCCTGTTTACACCATACATGAGGTGGTGTGTAGAAAAACACAACTCAACAGACAAGCCCTTAATGGAGAACGAATTGAGAAAAGCTAAATTTTTGTGAGAAATATCACCTTAAAAACGTTAGCTTTCCGCCAGTATTAGTCTGATAGTCATAGTCAACTAGGTCAAAGCACTGCAAATGTGGCAATGTTGTCTAAAACAAGGCAAGAATGAGGGAGGGTTGGATGGATTAGAGTCAGAATTGTACCTAAAAGCCCAAGATGAAGTAACATACTCCAACCTCTAGGCCCAACCATAAGGTTTACTTAAAGCAGAACTCCAGGAATTTATTTTTATCAACCCTTGCAGTGGGGCTACAAATTCCTATTTGTGTCTAGGTGCTAAAATAGTAAAAATAGAATTGCCCAAAGTTCTGAGTCGGCCAGCTGTCACAGTGCTCAATCCAGCCTCTCCCTGCCTCCTCCTCCGCAGATTTGAATGTTCCTCAGTGTCCTTACGCCTATGCACAGTGTAAAGATGTGATGATATACTGGACCTTAGACTGCTGCAGAGGAGGGGGAAAGAGACATTCCAGGGACTAAGAAGAAGCCGGCTCAGAGCTTTAGGTGAGTTTTGGATTTTTTTTTCAACCTAGACACAAAACGAGCAGTTAAGTCTTGCAGTGCAAGAGTAGCCCCACAGCAAGGGTTAATAAAAAAAAAAAAAAATCCTGGAGTTCTGTTATAAATGTTAACTGTCAAGAAAAACATAACACTTAAGGCACTTTCTGAAAAGACTAGTTGACTTGCTGTTATGCTGATCTCCTGGCTTCAGTTTCTTTATGCTGTGTGTAGCCGTTGTGTCCCCAACCATCCGCATTCTCCTGCTTGACCTCTCACCCACTGCATTTCCTAAGAGTGTTATTTTCATCCCAAGGGAGTCCATTGGTTACAGATAGGTAAGCAATAGGAAGAGGTTTTATTTTCTCTTTCTTTCGTTGGCCATAATACATAAATCTTTAAAAAAAAAAAAAAAATAGATCTACCAACTAACCCAGAATGGCACTGGGAATGGTGCTACACACTAAGGGAGGTCAGCTTTTCTCTTTAGTTTGTTCAGTTAAGCTTTCAAAACACAAAGAACCTGACTGGTTCCCATGGACAACTGCTCCACATTCTATCTGCTGTGATAAATTCCCCTCATTGTGTGCCATCATAAAGCACCATAGTAGAATCCTAGGAATTCTAAGATCAGACCAAAAGAAGTATAGCCTATAACTTCTAGAATTTTTGCTGATAAATGTAATAGGATTACTTGTCACCCAAGTTAGAGTAAGTTTTGGTTGCATTCTCCACAATGCATGCACAGACAATTTTGAATCAATAGGATAGAGAGATAGGATAGAGAGATTACATACAGTACATGCATGTGTGTGTAGCCCCCAAAAGCATGTGGCAAGCCTTAGGGGCAGGAAGGGCTGACATTTCACGCTCAGAAATGGAGGAGGTTGTGGGCAGTAAATTGGGTGCCATCAAGTACTTTTTCAATGCTTTATTGTAGAACAGGGAGAGAGGGCATAGGGCTGCAGACATCCATTAACAAAATAGACTCCAGGTTTACCAGTCCTTACCAGCTTCCACTGTGCAGGAATACTTGAGTTGAGCAAAGGATAAACACTGTGTAATAGAGCCACAGCTGGCCAGAAGACATTCTGGAGATCTTCCCTGGGAGAGACACCAGACTTGTTCCTGAGGTACTTGCCGTCCTGGCACCCCCAGCAGACAAAAGCCTCCAATGGTTCTCCACTCAGACTTCAGGCCTAGTCCACGTCTCCAACTGTGCACACACTACCCCCATGGCTGGGGCCTGGGGGCAGACTGCCCTGAGCACATGGCAATTCCTGAGTAATGATGCACTACCCCAGCATGCCCCACTGACCATGAAACTCCCAGTGATTAGCTGAAGAGACAAACATCCCCAATGTTCTCCCATAACTTTGTGGCATGGTCATAGCCTACTATAGGTGCAAACAATAGCAGAATACCTAGGAATGACCAAGAGAGAGAGAGAGAGAGAGAGAGAGGCCTGTGCTACTGCAAATGTTTGAGTCAGCTGAATTTTTTACTTTGAGGATGGGAAAAAAAAAAAGTGTAAACTTTGGCTAAAACAAAAAAGGGAAAATGTTGTATGAGAATTACAAAAGATAAATTGTGCTCATGACTATGGAAAATGTTATTGGCCTCTTGCATTTTCATAATAATGTCCACACACGTCATAGCGATGATATTTTTTGAAATCTGTAACACTGATATGGTTCTTTTACTATTTAATTTAGTTCATAACTAAAGCAAATATTAAACTTTTTTTTTTTTCTGGTGGGCTTCTGATAAGGTCCTTCCAGTGTATCAAATATCTAAATTTATAAAGTGGGTCCTTTTACAGCACTGCTTACTCTAATGAACCATTAATAGTACATCGTTTTCCTTTCTTTTATTTTCTTCCATTTCTTTGAGCTGTAAAAATATGGAATATACTTCCACAGGAACAGGTTTTAGTCAGGGGATGGAAATAGGATTTGTTTCCCTGTTGGACTACATGGTAATGTCAATTTTTGGCGTGTATGAATGATACCAGCTTAGGACATATGTGCACTGGAATCCAAACGTTTGATGGCTTTGAGCATGTTAGATCCTACCATTGTAATACCAAGTCATAGCACACTGCCCATCAATACCAAGCACACTGCCCATTCAGCATTGCAGTCATCGGAAGCCCGCCCCTCAGGGGGGCGGGCTTGCGATGATCGCAAGTACAATCTGCCTGTCCAAGATGGGCAGATCGTACGTTATTTTAATTACTTTAGTGTATGGCCACCTTAACTGTTACCCTCTTTTGTACCTCACTATAGTTACTGGTATCATCTCCCAAGACCAGCAGCACCCTTTAAAAAAAATAAGACGAGTACCTGTCCAGCTCTGTTGTAGAGTTGCGGCCGCCTTTGCTGTCTGATCCTTCCATGTGTATAGGATTCTCCACCGGTGTGCCATGTGACTGACCACTGTGTCACTCACCACTGTGTCCCATAGTGAAGTAGGGGATCAGTGGGAGGAACCAGGAATCCGACACAACCAGTGGTTCGGGGGAGGGGCGCAAAAATGCACCTTGCCTGTGTAGGCAAGAATCCTAGCACCGGCCCTGGGACTATGAGCCGGCCAGCTCAGAGGATCAGCCGCGTTTTAACTTTTTTTTTTACCCTAGGCAAACAACGAGCAGTTAACCCTTGCAGTGCAGGGAGAGCCCCACTGCAAGGGTTATTAAAACGGCTTTAAAAACATTCTGACTTTAATAATACTTTTATGCCTTTTGCCCAGAATGAATTCAGGGCAGTCTATATTTATTTGGCTGATCATTAAAGGTACATTGGGGGGAATTTCTGACCTTAACATACCTGCATAATAGTTAAATGATTCCCTTAATGGTTGCCCGGTGGTGTTCTTTATACATTTTCAAAGAAGGAGGAGTCCTATATTGTGCATTTTCACTCATAACTATTGTTGAGCATTACAATTATAGCTAACTTCCCTGCTTTCTTACAGCTTAGCATAGTAGTATGCGTTTGCATCTCATGGTAGACTAACAAAAAAACCTGCTCTGCAACTTTCTCCTCACTTATTAAGATGTACTAGAGTCAACAATTTCAGCGCGAACGCAACAGAGACTCTTCCTGCAGGCCGGTAATGCCAGAGCTTAGGTATTAGAATTCATCTAGGCATCGATGGGGTTACTAATTACATCTGTTCAGCTATGAAAGCTGAAAGACAACTCCCTTTCATATGACCAGTGACACAGCACTAGACTGCTCAGCCTCCTTTTAGATTTTTTTGGGGAGGGTTCACTACAGAGACGGAAAATTATTCTACAGAGAGGAAAGAAGGAGCTGTATACGTCAATGCTTTGCATCGTTCTCTACAGGGACAATTTATATATAGAGAAAAAATTGTCTTGTTGCGATACCCGGCATACGATATTGAATCAACACTTTTATCAACTTAGTCTAAAAAAGTGTTTTTACACAAGACACTACTGGTCACAAAGGACAACCATACACTTCAAAAGAGCAGTAATACATGGCAAAGCAAACACAAATGCAGCTGGATCAGGGAAATAGTCATGGGTTGTTATGGATTGCTACACTTTGTTTTAATTTATACAAAAAAAAATATAATAGAATGTATGTATGTATGTACGTATATATATATATATATATACACACACACACACACACACACACACACACACACACACAATCTCAGTATATCTCAGGGGTAGGCAACCTTGACACCCCAGCTGCTGTGGAACTGCAAGTTCCATGAGGCATTGCAAGACTGACAGCCAAAGGCATGACTCCCAGTGGCACAAGCATGATAGGATGTGTAGTCTCACCACAGCTGGAGTGCTAAGGTTGCCTACCCCTGATATAGTAGAGATGGATATAGGTACAAGGTGACCTGGCCACACCCTGGTACATGATCATCATTTTATACAGGCAACAGCAATCAAAATTGCATTACGTGGTAATCATGCACTGAGCGAGTTCAAGCATAAAAACCTAAAATAAAATAGCAAATGTATTTCTCCTATCTACACATCAGCCCTACGGCCTCAAGCACATGGAGGCCGCAGGAAACCCCAGACGCACAGAAAAGCCCCGTGTGCACAAGTCCTAGGTGGGACAAATGTAGAGGAAAGCTTGATCTGGGCCCAAAACAAGAAGTGCCCCACCAAATAAGGCATGGGAGCTATGCAGAAACAAATATGGAAAAACAAAAAACTCTACATTATGAAATATGTAAACACTCCATGCGTTGTTTTAAACAAAGGCCATTGCTGGCTGCCCAAAATCCTCTGCAACCATTCTGTATTTTTGCTTCTGAGCAGTAAACTGGTTAACAGATATCACAAAACATACTTACAAAGTGAACCCTGTAATATAGTAGGAGGATACAGAGACTCACGGTGCTGACACAGGTAAGGTGCATACACATCAACCATCCTCCCTGCTTTTGTGTTCAGGTGACACCCGATAGCCACACACACTGGAGTAATAGGATTCTTTCAGCATTATTAGTCAGATGTAACACGCTGTCTGGACTCAGCAACCAGAGTGCCACTTCCACATCTAACAAGTGTAGTAACTAATGGCAACTAGTTAAGAATCATCTTTTAGTTGTAAATGCTATAAACCAGCAGCAACCAAAATTTGCTGCAAGCTCCATTCGGGTGGAATATTTTCCAACATGTTCCTTCAGCAAAAGTCCATCTAATGATTCACTTGTGCTGAGGGAATAGGGTCATCAACAGAGCAAGTTTCAGGCAATTTCCTGATAAATCAGTCTAAATTTGCTCGATGTGTACCCAGCATGATGAATGCCACCGTAGGGTACTCCGGTTTACACTGCTTTTTAGAAAAAAAGGCCCGGATAGTCTATGTCTGTAAATGTAAAAAATAAAAAGTGATGCGTGGGAACTCACTGCCCAGAATCAATATCAAACTCTTATTCTAGATAGGGGTCTGGTATGGATTTTAAGGGGGGAGTGGAGTTTCCCCATTTAGATCAGAGTGCCCCTTTCACATCAAAAGCCCTCCTTTCACATCAGAGGCCTCCCCCTTTAGCAAACATTTTAAGGTACCCCTGACAAAACCAAAAGGCACCCTGGTTGAGAAAGGCCGCTATACAGAATAGATGAATACCTTAAACAACCCTTTGCTGCCGTTACCACCAGAGTGTTTTGTTGTTACATAGTATTTGTGGCTGAATAAAGACACAGGTCCATCAAGTTCAACCTATTGTTGTGCACGTCTCCCTACAAACACTCAATATCAATAATCAAATTGTTTTAAAATATGCCTGTTTATATCTGAGTGCTTAGTTGCTTGTAGCTCAATGCCTATAGTGCAAGAAAATAAGCTTTTTTTGGAGTGCAGTTGGGCATTTTTGGCCTCATAGACTTCAATAGGAGTGAATGCTCACTTGAAGAACCGCTCTCCTCCCCCTAGCAAGCCCAGCCAACAAGAATGTCCAAAGCTTGAATGCAATACACTATAAAAACAAGCATTTACTCATGCAAAAACATAAAACATACTTCTAAATTGCCTGAAAATCACTAAGCTCAGTGGCAGTTTAAAATGTTTAACAAACATTTTATAAGTTTCCGTTAAATAAATGTCTGTAAGTCTACTTCTACTTGCAGTCTATTTTCATTAAAGTATCTGCTTGCTCATATATTTTACATGCAGCATAAGCAAATGGAGCAAGTCAAAACTTTGATATCAAGAAAACTTCATCCTGCTGTTGGTAGTTACATGCAGCGAAGCTGGATTCTCCTCCATCCTCTCACCCTGAAACCAGCCTGTGTCCTAAGACCTACTCCTGACAGTATATGCAGGCGATATCCTGGGAACCATACAAAGGGAACATACTGCTACTGTGGGCACTTACATAACCTGCTGTTTCCTCCTCTGGCTAGCAGAGAGATGCTGCTGATCAATCGGTGTGCAGGAAGCAATGGAGAACCAGACACAGGCTAGTGTGTGGAAGTGAACTCAGCTCTCCCAGTCACACCCTAGATCAGTAGTACTGCCCTCATCCACCTCACTTCTCGGGCAGAGGATGTTTCCTCCTCTCTTTAGTTAGAAAACATGTCCAGCCCCATTTAACTAGTGCAGCATTGTGAATTAATTTTTTCCACATCCTTAAAGAGAGAGTAGTTTTCTATCAAGCAGTTCTACTAACTTTGCATTAGAAACATATTTACTTTCTCCAACTTTACACCAGAAGGGATCATTTGATAAATGCTAAAAGCTGTGGATGAGATGTGTACATTTTTTAGAAAAGATAATATAAAAGTTTTAAAAAACTGATCTTGAAGGGTAACTATACTTTAAAATAACTAAGGGCTCATGCACACAACTGTAATAATATATGGAAACTAGCATGCAGAATTTTGCTGGCAGAAGCTGGTAGTAAGATCCCACGTAATAAGTGATCTGTACGCATGTAATGTTTGTGCTGTGCTCACACGTGTACAAAGTTTAGGACACATGGAGGGGATTTATCAAAACTGGAGCAGACAAAATCTCCCCCAGATTTTGCATTGCAGCCAATCAGCTTCTCTATCTCATTTTCAAATCTTACCTGAGCAAACTGAAGAGAGATGCTGATTGGTTGCCATGGGCAACTGCTACAGATTCTGTTTGCTCCAGTTTTGGAAAATTCCCCCCACGGTGCCTGCATCCTACCGACAAAGGATGCTAAACAGCTTGGGCCACCTAGCAACGAATTCTCACTAACCTCTAGTGAATAGTGTTGTGAATAGTGATAGGCCGAACTCCCCCATGTTCAGTTCGAATTTTAACTTTAGAAGATGGAAAAAGTTTGAATTCGAACTCAATGCAAGTCTATGGGGCTAGAACTTTGAAAATCAATTGTCCCATCTTGAAGGCTTACAGTATATGCAAGTTATTGGCCATAAAAAGAGTATGGGGATTCAGGTACTGCTCTGGGGGACATGTATCAATGAAAAAAAAACACTTTTAAAAAATACAGTTTTTAAAGGAGCAGTGTTTATAACATCACTTAAAGTGAAACAATAAAAATGAAAAATTCCTTTAAATATCGTGACCGGGGGGTCCCCTTAACCTGCCTGTGAAGTGGCGCATCTGTACGATGTATAGAACCTGCTGCAGCAAAAATGACATTTGTAAAGTAAAAAATTACATTTAAAAAGAAAAAAAAAGCATGTGGTCAGGTGCAAGGCTTTAGCCAATCAGGGCTCACAAGGCACTGTGCGGTGCAGTTACTGACAGTGTGTTCGCCTCAAACATCGAGCCCATCGCTAGTTGTAAACCCAGTTTGCCAAAGTTTGCCCAAGCCTGCTTAAAACTGTGGCCTCTACCCCTCCTCCCAACCCAATCAGTAGTGGAGAGGTGCATTCCCCTCCCTGCAGCTATATGTTACAAAGGGGCTCAAAATGCCCACGCCGCAACTACTGCCACTGATTGAGCGGGCCTGGGTGAACTCTGACAAACTGGGATTGTCCGGGCTCATCACTACTGACCTCCTTTCCCTTGTTAACTTGTCTGCCTTGCACATACCTTAGATCAGCAAACGGGGAAGCCAACCCAACCTTTTTAGTAGACAAAACTTTAAAAATGTACTAACAGGGCAGAGAAAATGCCCATTTTCTGCAATATTTCCAAATATTGCAGAAAATGGGCATTTAATCAGTTAGAGTAGGATAGGGGATAAGTGTATCCCAGATATGGGTTTTAACTGTATTTGCTTAAATGGAAACAGTGTAAGTACATGAATTTGGCTTGGTATCAATCTTTTGCAGTCCACTGTAAAGCAGTGCTAAGATTGTAACAGGGAGAAGCAACACAAATAGCCATTCAGTTGTGCTACAGTGCAAGGAGAGCATTGATAGAAGGAGAGAGCAGAGTAACAGTTAGATATCCTTGCCATTATGCTTACTTACACCGAGACTTGATGGCAAGGTAACATCTGCCTGCCACCATAGACATGAGATGGTCACCCAATGTGACCATAACAACTGTATGTCATCTCATGTCTATGTATTACCTTATCAGTGTTAAGGCAAATACTGTAGTCACTATGCAGGAGCACAGAAACGGTACAGACCATCTGAGCAGTAAATAAAGCTGACATGACCAAAATGATGTTACATGTGATATCAGGTATAGTGCATAGCTATATGTCATTATTATGGATTGATGTATCTCCCATTCATATGAAGCAATAATGTTTGTTAAGTGGCTTAAGGTGCCCATACACCTTACAACAAGGGTGGCAAACTCAAATTCATTTCTCGGCGGGTTTTCAACCCTGCTTGTTCGACGGAAGACGTGCGACCGTACTGGAAATCCTTGACTACATGGGATGCTTTATAAAAAAGGTGAACTAACCCTTTAATTGCAGGAAAAAAAAGGTCTTCTGTCCCACCAGAGAAAGCTGTGTTGTTGGGCAGTGCTGTGTAAATGTTAGGACTGGATGGAAATAAATACAAATCCTTCAGCAGGTAAAACAGCGTCTATATATGTATTTCATCTATACATTCAGCTGTTTGCTGAGTATAGTTTTAACTGGTCACATTTTGTATTTTTCTGTTGGTATGCATTTCATGTCACTTTAATTTCCAGTAGGAATTATTACAAACAGCTCCCATTGAAATATTTTTAAAATAAAACCAGTAGACATGTGCACTGGCAACAATTTTGTTTCGTTTCGTTTTGATTCCGAATTTGCGTTATTTCGTTTTTCGGGATTCAGTTCCGAAATTCAATTCGTTTCGGGATTCGGATTCTGACAAAATTCGTTAGCAGTAGCCTGGACGAAATTCCGTGACATTAGAAAAAAAAAAAAAATCTTTTTTTTTTTTTAGTCTGCAGAAGAAAAAAAAAAGAGTGAGGTTCCCCCTCAATTGATACCAGACCCTTTAGATCTGGTAGGAATGTTAGGAGGGACCCTCCCCCAAGTTAAAACAAACAAAAAACGTGCTTGGGGTTCCCACAAAATCCATACCAGGCCCTCTAGGTCTGGTAGGAATTTTAAGGTGGAACCCCAGCCCCCCCAAAATGGGGGGAAAAATGTGGGGTCCCCCCTAACATTCCTACCAGACCCTTGAACTGAGCATTGGCCCAGCAGGACAGGAAAGGGGGGGACGATCGAGCGCCCCCTCCCTGCGCCTTACCAGGCCACGTGCCCTCGGCATTGGGAGGGTGTCCCCATGCCGATGGGGACAAGGGCCTCTTCCCCACAACCCTGACCCGGGGGTTGTGGGGGTCTGCGGGCAAGGGGGGTTATTTGCATCGGGATACATCTTTAATTTAGGGGGCACCAAGATGCCCCCCCCCCTTGTGAATGAGGAAGGGGTACTTGTACCCCTACCCATTCACTAAAGGGTTAAATCAAATAGTTATTAAAAAGTCCAGACAATTTTCAACTATTCCTTTTAATTAAGGGGAAAAAATGGCTCCATCAATGTAATCCAGCGTCAATCACGATGCAGGACGCCCGCCGACCCGCCGCAATAAGAAAAAGTACCGCCGCACGACGACCGTCCGAACCCGACGAAAGCACGCCGCAAAATGACATTCCTGCTCGAAAGTAAACAGATGGGCGGAGCGAGCCGTCATGGCTCGTTCCGCCCATTTGACATTCTCAGCTTTTTTGTTTCAACTTGGGGTGGGGGTCCCTACTTACATTCCTACCAGACCTAAAGGGTCTGCTGGTATCAATTGGGGGGAACTTCCCGCTTTTTTTTCTTCTTCTGCAGACTAAAAAAAAATAAAAATTCTAATGTCATTTTGCTGCAACGAAAGTTCGTCCAGACTACCGCTAACGAATTTCGGATTCGGAAATTCGGATTAGTTTGCATTCGTTATTTCTGTAATTCGGAATTCGTATATATCGAATGTCCGAATTTCCGAAATGTCGTCCGAATTTTGATTCGGAACGAAACAACTCGCACATGTCTAAAAACCAGTAGAGTTCTTTGGACTGTAAAAAGTCCTACATCAGATCTTACTAGAAAACTACAATATCCTTGTATATCTTCTGTCAGATAAATAATAATTTCAGGGTTTAGTGCCCAGATGCTGTAGAGCTGGAAAGTTACATGATGTGGTTGCCACGTATGCAAGCACAGTCCTTTCCATAACAGTACAGGCCCCAAGTGTAATAGAATAAGTAAATAGAAATTAAATATGTATGCAAAGAAACACATTGCATACAATGGAACTTTATAGTACTGCATAAAAAAACAAACATTTCATTAAAAATTATATTGACAGAAATGGTAATGACTCATATCTGGGCAAGTCAGATTTTCAACCCTAACCCTTTCCTACCCTCTAGCGCCATTTTTTTTTACCTACCTTTATCCTATTTAAAGTGAAACTGTGCCCAAACCATGCACACTCAAGTATTCTTATACTCTGGACAAGAAGTTAAAAACAAGCCTTCATTCATCTTTGTATCTATGTTCTAGTTCTAGTGTTCACAACAGAAGCACCGCGTTGTTCTAAGAACAGAATCTGGCCAGCCTGACAATAAGCAGGTAGAAACTGACTGAAACCCTTCTCTAAAAACTTTGTAGTGATCTATGAGGATCTTTGAGAAGGAATAATTTAACATTGGGTGCCGGTTCACACCAGCTTTGAAGTCTGCATGTAGATGCTGTGCAGTGTCCCTGATCCCGGGGGAGTATGGCGTCCTTTGCCATGCTCCACCTGGGGGTTTTTTCTATTCCTCCCTGACTGAGTTGAGATGAGGAAGTTTGGGGTCTTGTCCTTCATGTGGATTGATCTGCCTATAAGAAAGAGTCCCTCTGTTGTTGCCACTGGTTGGAACCATTCAAACATCACACTTGCAAAATTCAAAAGATTGTTGCGTTTACTTTAGGCCAGAAACTTTGAGAAGAAAAAAAAGCTTATCGTTTTTAACAAAATCCAAAAGAGTGGACTTCAGTAACTTCTATTGTACAATGAGCTTGTTAAACAGTAATGCAGACTGCTAAATAGGGGGGTTGATGGATATTAGTGAAGTCC